ACAGCCAGGGAATGCTGATCAACTCGTGCACATGCCAACTTGTACACGCCATGACTTGTACGATGACCATCTCGTATGGTGACCAACTTGTACGCCATCTAATGTTCATGCAAAATTGTACCATCACATGTAGTATGTACAACACCTTGCCTTCCATGTTGAATTGTCCCTCTACTTGATACCAACCCAGTGTAGTAGAATATATCATGTGCTGCTGTATGTTACCAATACTATTTAATGATTCAACTTTCAACGACAAGCCACCATGGTAAAATATGTTGCTATGCCTAGGATTTATGTTTCTTGACTACTTGTATTTGTGAAATTCTAACTATCAACAGACATAAAAATTATGGTACTTTTCTTTGAAAATGGAGAAGTTCGTTTTCTAGAAAGAGACAGAGCAGCGTTTAATTCATCAGGCAAAAAGCACCTTCTTCTGATCTTGGACATCCTTAATGGCCGACTTCCAATTAAAATCTGGCAATGCGTCGAGTTGCAGCACTCAAGTTGGTTTGTGCAAGAGTTCATCAACGTACTGGGGCAAATGTACAAGTTGGTCAGTATGTGAATGGGTTGATGTACAAGTGGAAAGAAATTCCTACTCAGAGGCCACTAATTTTTCCCTGGAAAGTCAAACTGAGCAGTAAAAAACTGAGGAATTCGATGGCTGTCAAGCGGTATCCGTATTTGCACAAGTTGATCAAAACATGTTTGAGTGGGTCGGCATACAAGTTGGCATGCATGGGTACCAGTTGTCCTGTTCTAACGGGTGTCGGTCACTCGCCCCATTTCCAATTCACCCCAAACCACTTTGCCGTATTGTCACTTCACCCCATCCCCACAGTGCCCCGCCGCCATTCGCCCCATTTCCACTTTGCCCCAGCCATGGTTGATTGTGTACATGTATGGAAAATATGGCACAAACAAGGCACCTTTCTTGTGGCCCGGACCGGCACCACTTGACAATGGATTTCATCAGATTGGAATAATGAAAGAAACGATATCATTCCTTTTAATTTTTATCAAAAGTTTCCCCTGTATACCTAGTCCTCTATGGGTCCCTGCAAGTGTTCTTTTGCCATTACTTTTGTGAATCCATTTCCAAAGTTAACTTTTAACAACAAAAAGGTGGAAATGGGGTGAAGTGACAGTAACTTATTCTAACAAATGACACCTGAAGATTTGATAAACAACAGCATACGGTTAACCTCCCAAATCCCCACTCCTTTAATTTTGTACTGCCACGACTGGAGAAGCATTCCATATGCAGTCACCATGGCAACAATGTTGCCCTGCAATCCCTGCAGTGAGTTACTAGTCCTTCAAAGTCAAATCTAGGAGTGAACTATTGAGATATTCACTAAAAACAGAATTTTTCAGACCTGTCTCATAGGGTTTGTGCACAGGGAATTCTTTTCTGATCCAGTTAGTGTACATGTAGGAACAGTGGGCAATCGTCGCACGGCCTCAATGCACAATTTACATACAGCCTCGTTTTCAGTTTTGTGCTGCAAGGGGACCCCTCCCCAAATCCATTCAGGTGATATATCATTTCTATTTTTACAAGCATGCAACCTATACGATGACTTAAAGCAGATGTCAGCCATCTTGGAAAAACGTTTCAAAGTTTGGAGAATATCCTGAGGTGCCCCTACAAAAATCACCACTATTTTTGCTGAAGGAAAGTATATTATCCATTTTTACCATAACTGTATCATTATTTGATTATTTGAAAGTTAACTCGTGAACAGTATTTTTTTAGGCCTACCATATTGCATGTCAACTGATGTTTCATGATTTCAATATGGATTGTGCATGTGTGAATGGGAAAATGACGAAAAAATATGATCTGGTTTTTCATCACAAATGATCAGTTTTATTATTTCAAACTGGATTTTACAGCCTAAGTATTATGTCTAGATATCAGAAAATATGATATTTGACGAAGATTGACATTGATATTGTCGATGATTTTGGATTGCTAAATGGTTCAACAGCATTCTAAAAAAGTTGTCTCCTACTTTGTTGCATACGTGACTGTAATGCCCCTTGTGATTGGCTGAAGGGCTGTATTTTGCTCGACAGCTTTTTTGTGACAGTTAAGCCTCGGTTGATTGTTATATTTTGGAAAACTTTAAGTTTGAAATGGAATTCATTAATACATGAAAAGTATAATTATTTAGTAGATAGAGAAATACTTTAAAGTAAATGATTATAAATTATAAATGATTATCAATTCCATACTCATGTACCATTGTTATGAGTATGAAAATACTTATTTTCTCCCTGGGTTCTGCCCAGGATGGTTTTAGTGCC